GCATGCCAAAGCAGTTGTAATCCTGCCTAAGTTGGCATAAGTCGGGTAAAGGCTGCCTAAAGTATGTCAAAGTCGTTGTAAGGTGGGTTACGTCGGGTAAAGTGAGTTGAACAGCATACCAAAGCAGTTGTAATCTAGCCTAAGTCGATCTAAGTCTGGTAAAGCATGGCTAAAGTATGTCAAAGTCATTGTAAGGTGGGTTAAGTGGGGTAAAGGAAGTTGAAAGCATGCCAACGCAGTTGTAATCTAGCCTTAGTCGGTCTAAGTAGGGTAAAGCATGGTTCAAGTATGTCAAAGTCATTGTAAGGTGGGTTAAGTTGGGTAAAGGATATTGAACAGCATATCAAAGCAGTTGTAATCCAGCCTAAGTCGGTCTAAGTAGGGTAAAGCATGGTTAAAGTAGATCAAAGTCATTGTAAGGTGGGTTAAGTCGGGTAAAAGAAATTGAACAGCATATCAAAGCAGTTGTAATCCGGCCTAAGTTGGTCTAAGTTGGGTAAAGCATGGTTAAAGTATATCAAAGTCATTGTAAGGTGGGTTAAGTGGGGTAAAGGAAATTGAACAGCATATCAAAGCAGTTGTAATCCAGCCTAAGTTGGTCTAAGTTGGGTAAAGCATGGTTAAAGTATGTCAAAGTCATTGTAAGGTGGGTTAAGTTGGGTAAAAGAAATTGAACAGCCTATCAAAGCAGTTGTAATCCAGCCTAAGTCGGTCTAAGTAGGTAAAGCATGGTCAAAGTATGTCAAAGTCGTTGTAAGGTGGGTTAAGTCGGGTAAAAGAATTTGAGCAGCATATCAAAGCAGTTGTAATCCAGCCTAAGTCGGTCTAAGTAGGGTAAAGCATGGTTAAAGTATGTCAAAGTCATTGTAAGGTGGGTTAAGTGGGGTAAAGGAAGTTCAAAGCATGCCAAAGCAGTTGTAATCCGGCCTAAGTTGGTCTAAGTAGGATAAAGCATGGTCAAAATATGTCAAAGTCATTGTAAGGTGGGTTAAGTCGGGTCAAAGAAATTGAACAGCATATCAAAGCTGTTGTAATCTAGCCTTAGTCGGTCTAAGTAGGGTAAAGCATGGTTAAAGTATGTCAAAGTCGTTGTAAGGTGGGTTAAGTTGGGTAAAGGAAATTGAACAGCATGCCAACGCAGTTGTGGTGCACCGTAATGGTCCGGAATAAGATAGTATATGCGGATCCACTATATCCCTGCAAGACTAAGTCACAGAATAGATAAAGGGCAGAAGCTTCACTCAAGGGTAAAAAGTGTGCCAGAATGTCAGCCGACTTCCGGTGTGGCCGCCATGTTGAAAGCAACCAAACCAGAGGAAATTTTATAGGAGTTAATATGGCGGAATACGAAATAGAG